GCCAGCTCATGGTATATGGCGAATCCTGTACTCAAAAAGGACAGCGAAGATTCGGTTCGAAAGACAAATGGCTCATGGTGGAGTTTTGATAATTCGTAGGATACATTTGCAGGAGTCCAATTAGGCAAACGCAGATGGCCTCCCTTGTCTTATTTTCTCCCGAAAGTAGTGATGGATCCTGTGCCCCAGCATTGTATACTCCTCTCAGATATAAAGCCGCAAATACTTTAATGTCTGAGCTCAAATGCAACATGTCTAAGGCTCTCTACAATTCGTAGGCCAACAAGATGAAACATCAGCCAGACGAGCAGACAGAACGACAGAGAAACAGACAGACGTTGGTCATTTTTTGGGCAGAACAAAGCCGAGCCTACTGGCTGTCAGTTTAGGTTCTCTCCGTCTCGGTCCTTCCTTGTCTGCCATTCCGCTTTCATGCTTATCGGACTTGGTTTGTGCTGTTTTTGCAGTTGCTGCATACTTTTAGGCGCACATCACGCCATGTACTAAACTTTTTCGTGGGCCCCAGCACAATGGTTCATTGCACTGCACCTCCCTCTACTCCTCCTACTACTGCAATGAAAAATGCTACGCGCCAGAGTTTTATTGCCCGGAAATGCCTTTTCGGATGCCAGACGAGGGCCCCGAAAACTTTTACTTGCAAAGGCACAGCCCCACGAATAATCCCTTCCAGAGAATCAGGCGCAAAGCTCGAAGTGCAGTTGCAGTTTTTGGGTTTTGCGATTGTCGCATGTTCGAACGCAGTTAACGGACATATGGGAGGCAGTGTCCCAAGCTTCGATTATGGCAGCTAATAAAAGATGCACACCGCACGTCACCGCACGTCACGTCACGGCACGGCACTCCACACCCCACGCCACGCCACCGCTCCATAGGCGCATTCTAAAATTCTGGATTTATGGGCATTTTTTATGGCACTTTGGATTATTTTTCTTGTTGCAACAGCAAAAGCTGTTGTGAATTCTTCTTGCACATTTTTGTAAAGTTGTTCCTCGCCTTGTCGCCTGTGTGGCAAGAGGTCATAAAAATTCAATTATGTGAATGGGTGCGGGGGCTGAAAACAAGCGAAAGAAAAGCCCATAAAAATGAATGAATGCTGATTTTCTCAGAGAGAGATACAAAAAGTCTGCGCCTCTGCGAAAAGTATGCCACACACATTTTTTTTTAATATTATTTTACACGGCTTTGACACACATGCATAAATGATATACAAATGCGGGAAGGGAAGGGAAGGGTCCTCCACACACACAGAGAGGTGGGAGACCGACTGTGTGTAAGCTGCTGGAATGGACTGCTCCAGGGTTGTGGGAAACGTGATACCAAAATTACCAAAATGTAGCAAACAAACACCTAGAGCTGCCAACCTCCCCTTGAGAGCACCTAAGACTTGGCGTGTGCCGCCTTCAAATCTTGTATCTTGTATGCAAAAGTGGTGAGAGTAGGGATGGAAAAACGAGGTGGAAACTACATACTTGGGAAATGGAATAGAAATAGGGGAAAAGGGTGCCCCATGCTTGAGCAAATGCAGGAACTAAATGGGAACGGGAGCTGTTCCGGTTTCAAATTCAACAGAAAGATGCGCGTAAAGGTTGTGTGGGTTTGAAGTAACTTAAAGTTACAGCTGGTAAATAGAAGCACTTTCCTACAATTATTTAAGCCACTATTTTGAGGCATTTACCACGCCTAAAGTTGTAATTTGAAAGATATTTAAGATGTTTCTGGAGGAGGTTGTATCTCTTCTCTCTGCTAGAATCGACAGCCGTTTAGCCTGTGGCTTCATCCCACAAATAGCTAGAAGAAATTGGTTGGTGCCGCTTTATAGGCAACATGATCCATCCATCTCTCTCTTTCAGCGTGGTAAACACTTTTACATTTAAATATTGACCCCCGCCATCAATTGAGGGATCCAAGTCTGATGGATGGCTCAGCATTCGAGAGGTTAAATGCCTGCTTATACATATCCCTTCCAGGCACTGCTCTCTGCTGTGTGTTTTATCACAAAACTTTGCATTATTCTCCACTATGCTGTAAGTGGCTGGGTTTTCGTGTCTTTGCTTTTTTCCCTACTCTTTGGCCCCTGTGTGTGCTCCTGTGGCTGTAGTTATTAACCTCTTTTGGTGTCCGCTTTGTTGCACTTGATAAACCATAGCCGTATAAGCCATAGAAGCTGCTTATGTATGTAAATAGGCTTGGCATATCCGTACTTGGAGGCTTTTGGCCCTTCCGCCTGGTGGGCCCCAGTACGGCACCCATACACACATTTGTTTGCACTTGGCTTAAGATAATTGCCACTCGACATGTGCGGGCAGGACACAGGAAGTGTGTGGCTAAGGAATGGAGGATGATCAACGGTATATATTTGATTGACAACTCACATCATGGCTACTCTTGAGCAGCACGCAAGTCATTCGATAACTTCCTGCTGCGCCCCAGCCCAAAATTTTCGACTGACATGTTTTGATAAATTGTTTGATTAATGGACGTATGTGCGTAAATATGATTTAAGTGCGGCTGCGAAGGGCTGGCGTATCAATGGAGGAAGGAGGAGTGCTGCAAGGACACTTCATGGCTGTGACCATTAAAAATAATTTCCTTTTGCGTTCGCCTAAAAGCGCACTCCAAGCCGCAGAGAGGAGAAGCGACAGCGATTGCGGAGAGGGAGAGAGACAGCGCACAGAGAGCTGAAGATTACAAAATCTGTCGGATGCCAGAGCGCTCTTCATAAATCAAAGTGACACCCATGACTGCCACACACACTGACAGACACTCGACATAGAGAGAGACATTTTGCACATTTCCGTTGCGCTCATTAAAAAATTGAGCGCCATTTGCCAAAAGCGAAACAAGCGGGGCCCGGCCACATTGCGTGGTTGGGGGGCAAAAGATGCAAGAGAATTTTCATTGCGGCTGAGCATGCATATGTATAAAAAAAAAACTCCACTCGAAAAACTAACACATCATAAATCTTGCACAAGTATCCTTAAGCGTCACCACCCCCACCAGCAGCAGCCCCAAATCATGGCAGCAAAAAAAAACTCATCCACATAAAAGGCAAAGCGTAGAGGAGACGGGCACAAGTGACTTGTGTTAAGATTTTTGCTGTTTTTAATTACAAAAGCCTTCAAAACGGTTCGTCGGGCGCCCATAAATATGCAACACGATTTTCACGGCGTTTTCATCCTCTCTCTCTCTCTCTTTCGGTCTCCGCTTTACCTACTGCTCATATGCAATAAGAAACTTTGCCAGAGGCCCAGTCAAACGCTCCCGTGGCGCTTACCCATGACATGTCCAAGCTGTCGTCAACGCCGTCTCATCTTTGGCAGCCTTCAGCACTCGGCCCCTTTCACGGCGCCTCCTTCCTCATAGAGGAAAGAGTCCTTGCCCGAAGCGTACTTTTTTGTCAGTGGCCGCAGCAGCAACAGCTAAACTTGAGACTGTTGGCACGTGCAATATGCCGCCCCGCACTCCTGCGGGTCCTGCTCCCTTTTCTCTTCTGGCGTTTCTGTGCTAGCAAAACTTCTGCCGCTTCCCACTCCCACATAGTTCAATATGTTCTCTAATGAAAGTTGTGCCAAAGTGTGATATTGATTGTAGCACAGATAGAGAGCTAGAGGGGGGGAAAGATAGGGGATGAAGGCAGAGATAGTGAACGAGATTTAGATTGAGATTGAAAGAGCAACAGAGAGAGAGAGAGCGAGTCCCTCAGGCCCCAAGCAGAATTTCACTTCAGTTTCTGCAAGTTTTTCGTGTAACTTTTGTGAGATGAAAAGTCCTTCTACTTGTATTTGCATGAGAGTGGCTCAGCTCGACTCTTGGCGGAAATAAATCATCACTGGCTTAGCTTTAAGGTAAGATTGAAGACTTTGTGTAGGTGGAGGAATGCGAAGAGTTTGGATTGTGTTGGTTATTGCCGTAAGAAGAGGGGCGCAATTGAAAAATAAATAAATAAATAAAAAGAGACACTTTTCAATTGTACATTATTCTGAGTGCAGCTTGTAAGCGAATTCTAGCTTCAATTGATTCAAATTGTAACTGGAATCAGCCAAAGCTGTCTCACATTTTACCCCTCCCGAGACTGTCAACATTTTCGCTAATTGCAAGAGCACTTCATATACTTTTCACGGCATTTCTTATCATCCAAATATGCAGCTCTGTTTGTGCACGTGTAAATATTCGTAGTCTGTGCTAAGTATTCCTAGGGCACAGTTCATTTCCCACTTCAATGGCAACGCTCCATGAAAGAGGATTCCTGCACCCGCATGGCATTTGATACGATTTTATTCATCCATGTCCTTGTCGTGTGTCTCCCCCAGACTGCCGTCCATGCCGGGCGACAACAACCCCCAAAGTTTTGGCTCCCTCAAGCCCATGCCCAACATCAAGCTCTTTCGGGGAACACCCCAGTCCTGCCCCTGCACAACTTCAAGTAGTGAACAACAAAAAAACAAAGGCAAAAGAGAGAAACACTTCCACTTCCACTTCCGTTTTGCATTTGATACTAGGGTAATTCATGCTCCTCATCCTGCTCCTTCTGCTTCGCTTTCGACGCCTGACGTCTGAAGGTTTTTGTTGCGCTTTTCTTTTTTGTTGCCCATCAACTTTTGCAGATTTTTCCAGCTTCCTCTCTGTCACACTTTCCTGTTGCTGTAGCCCTGGGGATATCGTCTAACCCTCGCAGGGAAATGCAATTTACAGCACTACAGCAACAACAATAACAATATCCTTAAAAGGGACAAATAAAAATAAACAAACAGACAGTCTCATTTCCTAGATAATATTGTTGTAGATGTGTTTTGCTAGTTGTTGTTGCCATTCCGTCATTAATCCTCAGCCTCCATTCCTACCCTCAATACACCTTTGTGCCTGATCTGAGCGAAAATAAAGACGAAGAAACGAAGCAGAGAGATGAAAAAGCAAACATCATAATTGACCTCATTATAATTGCATTTCGTTTTCCGTTCTCTTCTCTGTGTCTTTTGCAGGTCAGTATCTGAGATGAATGTCACATCACTATACGAGTACGCTGGGTAAGCCATTGGATTTAAGCTTAATTATGGTGCAAAAATTATTGATTGAATGTTGAGTGAACGATGCAAAGGCAAGGCCCGAGTCCGTCACTGATGGATACTCAATGTCATAATATTCCACACCGCTCCATCTGTTTCGGATTATGCACATACGTGGATATATTTTCCTATTCAGTTCCAGTTTTTAATTTGTTTTTGTTGTCTTACTGGCCAAAAACCATAAAACCATAAAACCCACAAACCGAAAACAAAAGCTTTTAAGGCAAAAATTCAAATAAAAATTTCATCAAACTTTTGCCGAGTGGCGCAGAGGATTGGATGGCGGACGGACTGGCAATGGCAGGACAACTTGAACTTGGTTTTCGCTTTTGGCAGCAGCTCATGCAGCTTTATAATTGGCATACAAAAAGTACCAACCAATGAAAAGCGATACAAAGTTGAGAGAGTCGCCCTGCTCCATGGGGAGAGTAAAAATAAATAAGCACAGTCCCCCCCCTGCAGTTCTGTTTTGCTTAAAGTTTAAGTGGTTATAGTATATACTTTTATTTTTTAGCTCTTTGTTGTTGAATTTCAATGAGTAGGAGTTGTATAGTTTTAAGCGAAATTATTAACTTGCGGGAAATTAAATGAGAGCCTGCCCAACGTCAGAGATTCAACTTTTAGCGTGTAATATTTGCGCGTGACTGGCCAATTTGTCAATCAGCCAAGGGTCAGGGCAGTCTGCCGTAAAATGTGTAAATATAACAGACTCTTGCCTACGAGAATTCTGCAGAAATTACGCGCAACAGACATCTGTTCCGCGGTACATATTTTGAGATCATTTAGCGTAAGTTCACTCTGTTTTAATTCATGTGAAATTGATGTAAAATTGCCTACAAATTGAAATCACTTTAAATCATTCAAAAGTTGAAAACTGCCATTAAAACACATTTAAAACTAACATGTAGAATGCATGCTATCTCCATTCCGCTTATTTAAACACTTAAAAGAGCATTTCCAGTTGAAAAAAAAAACAATTTGACAATTTGTCAAATGTTTTAAATTGAAGCGTTCATTTGATTATTTTCGGTGCAGCGTTAAACAATTAAATGTTCGTTGTAAATTGCTTCATTTTTTCGTGTTCGTGTTAACGTATGCGTATGACAAAAGTGAAATACAAACTCATGTTTAACAATTTAAGCAAATACAACGATAAAAGTGAGCGGACAAAAATTTGCGGTGAAGCAAAAGTTGGTACGAAAAACTGTACAGAAAACACACAGCCAGATTCAAGAGTCCATGTCCGTGTCTGTCCGTGTACGCTGGATGCTGGATGCTGGATGCTGGATGCCATTGCTGCTGCTGTTGCGAACTCTGACCCGCCCAGTGCCGGCTGGCATATGCAGTTCTTATTTCTTTTTCAATATTCACGCAGCATGTAAGGGGAGGGGAGTGCTCGCTTTTTGCTGAATGTCATTGTTGAAAGTTATGCTGGGGCGAGGCATGGTGGCTGGCGAACAAAATCGCATTGCTCTCGCTCAATGAATTATAATGTAGGAGACCAGAACCCCTTCTCCCCCCCGGTCAATTTGTATTGTGTCGCAGTGGGACATGGCACAGGGTGGTGGTGGTGCCACAAAGTGGGGGCTGACATCTTTGCATAATACAAACTCAAATCAGGCAGATGTGTGGGTAGCGCACATTTTGGGCATCCAGGGATGCCTGTCAAGCTTAATGGCAAGTAAAGTAACTTTGGCATTTTTGTGGCATGTATTTCCGCCCCATTCCTCACGTTTTTTGTGCCCTTGATGGCTGCTCTTTTGGCCCACTGGCAGCTGGCAACTGGCAGCAGATTCTTCTTTCATTTGTAAACTACATTCCTAGTTGAGTGAGCGAAATTTGCTGTGGCAAACGATAATGAACTTCTTTTTAGTCTTACTTTTGATAAAATATTTGTATGGAAAGGGAATGGACAGAGCAAAGTTGAAGGAGAAATGGATCATGGAGTGTAGCTTTAGTGTGACTGTTGAAAGTTGCCCATACTCTGACCAACACAATCCACCACGACGCCAAGCCACACAAACACACACACACACACACACATGTGGCGTATGCTTAATTTATTTTCTTAACCTTATTGGGGGGGAAGGAACCATGAGCACACTGAGAAAGCAAACAAAAGCCTTAATTAAATTACGGCAAATGGCCCCTGCCAGAGCCCTCGAAGTTTTGAGGCGTTTCGCATTAAGGTTACGGTTACGGTTACTGTTTGTGTTTTGCTCTTCGATGGTAGACTTTTGAAGTAGTCCTTAGAGTGGAAGAAAACTTAGCTATGACCTGCTTAAAGGCATCAGAGCGGAGCTGTCGGGCGCCCAATTAAAATGCTAAGATTTTTGTGCTGACTCTTAGCCTGACGCTGGGGTTTTTCAATCAACATTGCGAGGCAACAACGCAGCACACACATGGGCTAATTTATTTAGCAAGCAATTGGCACGTAAAGGGTTAATTGTCAGCCAGTCAGCAGAAATCCTGACTCTGCTTCATCGATTCTGCATTAAGTGCACATGTTGTTGCCCCCCACTGCCGGTTAACGCCTTTTTGTTTCCTACTTTACTTGAACGCCTTTTCATAGCTCAGGCCTAGGCGTTGCCTGCTTTGCTGTTTATTTTATTGCCTATTGCTATTAATTATACAATTTACTTATTGTTTAAAAACAGATTGTAAATATAAAGAGAGAGTTTTTTTTTTTTTTTTTTTTTTTTTTTTTTAAAAAAAAAAAAAAAATTGCTGCGGGCTGCCTTGAGACCCGCACCTCTCAAAACCCAAACTTGTGGCCATCGTGTCATGACCTTTGCCACCAGGGTTGATTGCCTGGCTGTGGATTATTGAAATGCAAATGTAAAAATCACTCATACGCACCATTTGACAGGTGCTCCAGCCTGCGGGCGAAATCATAGTTTGCAGCTCAAGTAAATATAAATAAATATATACAAACATAGATAAACAAGCTAACAAGAAGCTCCCACACCTGCAGCATAGAAAAATATCAGAACATGGGGTATAAATGGGGGGTTCCATTTTTCAATTGCTCGGCAATAAAGAGCCAGTTTTTTGCAACAATAAGTTTCAGATGCTGGCAGCTATGTACATGTATTGACTTTCAATTTGAGTGTCCGACTGGACAGCTCCCCAAAAAGAGGGAAAAGACAGGCGAAAAGAGGGGAGGAGAAAGTGTTAAATGGTACTGCCAATTGAAGAGGAATACTCTGCTCAATATAGCTGACAAATTGTACGCTTAATTGAATGTAAATATAGCAGATAATTAATTTATTCTATTTTACATATTTATTTGCCCAAAAATGGCTAAAAAGTGTGGCTCTTAACTCATCGAAAATAAATATTAAATAGTTAACTATAAGCTTTATTTTTAATTGCAGCTAAAATATGACCCAAAATTCGAAGTGCACTTACTTCAGTTCCCTTACATTTTTTGCCATTTATATTTATATTCATACAACATTTCGCCCCAGTCAGCGCATTCATTTCCCACCTGCAGCACTCTTCAAAGAGAGCAGAAAGAACGCGCATTGCACTGGGGGCAGATACCCTTTGGCAGATCGCATCTATTATAGATTACATTTCCCATGGGTCTCCATAGATTTTGCAAACATTTGCCAATTGGCAAACAAATGCCAAATAAATCAAAATCCTCTGAAAAATGAAAAAAAGAATTGTACTAACAAAATGGAAAATGGAAATGGAACCCAGCCCCTGTGGTGCCCTTAAAAACTTGTTCCCTTGGCCGCCTTACAAGCCAACCTCTCTGTTTGCCCCTCAACTGTACACCTGTTCGCCCCACCATCACCCCCTCCTTGGCTTGTACAAACACGTAATCGAATAATCCAATTTGTTTGCGCAAAAAAAAAGAACTGAAACTTTTTTCATAGTAAGGCTTCTCTTCAGTTGACGACGACAATGGCAGGGCTCTCGGTCTACGGTTCGGGCTCGAGCTCTCTGACTCGTACTCCCCAACCAAATTTGTGCCCTGTTTCTCTCATCCACCTTCTCAGCTAATTGTTTGAGTGAGTTTTGGGTGGAAACGTAAGTGCACAGGGCCCCAACCTACAACTGCCAACCGCCAGCCATGGTAGCGCCTCGCAAAGACCTTGTTCAATTTGAAATTGTCTGCAAAATGATGTAATTGTTACCTGCTAGTTGGATTTTGATAGTTACCTCAACTTTCGTGTCGACCCCAAACCCATCCTGAATTTATGTCTGTGGCAAAGTTTTTGCCAAGTTGGTGTGTGTCTGGGGGAAAAGTTCTCTGAATTGATTGAGAATTATAAATGGCAGAAAGATTTAATAATTAGCTTAGTCATGCATTCATCTGGGAATTATGAATGATTTTTGCAGTCTCTACTTATCTTACGTGCAAAAAGTTCTCTCAGAAAATGTTCTGACGTATTTTTTACTTCATTGCGTGCCCAAACATTTGCCGCCTCTGGTTAAAGAAATTAATTCAATTAATCCCGCCATTGAAGGTTATTGATTGATGCTTCTAATCGTGAAGCATCTCTCTCTCTACCTTTGCTCGTGGTTTTTTTTATTGGAATCCAAACTCTTTTCATCCTACCTTGATTACTCTTCATGTTTTCGTTCAACAAATTTTCAATTCCTCCATATTAAGTGGTTGCTTCTGTCCTCTTGCATTGCCTTTGCCTTTTCCTCAGCTATAACTATTTCCTCTTCCAATGAACTGCTTTGATGGAACATTTCTGTGGAATATTCAACCTTAAATCAACATTTTGTGCGTCTCTGCTAAATCTCTTCATTTCCATAGAAATTCTGTTAACATTTCTGTGCCATTCAGCTAACTGAATTGCTCAGTTTAACCTTTCAATCAGGTAAACGTTCTGTTGGTCACCAAAACCGATGTTATCCCCACAGCACCAGAGGACACAAACGAACCAACTCGACTCGACACAACACGAGCCGAGCCGACCCCCTGTGGCCAGCCATAA